CGCTGCGGTAGGCAACCGTCGGACATACGCAAAACGTGTCCTAACCAACGGAACCCATTGAGCTGGATTCAATGTGATAGCTCAATAGGCTCCGACTAACGAGTATAACAACTCCCAGATTACATGAACTCCTGAAAAAAAACAAAGACGGTGTCTATTCGAGACCTATTCTAGATATGTGCAACTCCCCGTGATTGGCAAGCTTGCTGGAGGCAGCAAGACTGGCCATTTCCAGACACAGTCTGCAAGACAACTCCTTTCTCGTAGAAACTTTGAAGGACCTAAGCCCCTTATGGGAAACGGATATTGTCATTGGATGTTATCTCGTTGTTTACAAACGTAACAAATAGTGATTAAATTTCATCGGATCTTATCAACCATACAGATTTATCGACTATGCTGGGCATTGAATCCTGAACAGTACGAGCAGGACGCCATATTAAAAACTGAATTACTTGGAACAGTTGTAAACAAAATGTGAGTCCCTTACGGAATATTCACTCCACTTAATGCACCCTACTGCGCGAACAAACATCATCAAAATTATCCGGTTTCATGGCAATACAAATCGGTCGACTTCACCCCGGATATTTGCACGGGTCAGTGGATAATTTGCAAACTATTGTTTACAATTCATTACCACCACCCACACACCGACACAGACACACGGATTTCAAATTGGAGCAATGCTGTTGCACTATTTTAAGATTTTCACTCTTCCCCGGCCGACCGCGGTAAGGAACCGAGTGAGTGATGACATCAATCGTGACCGAGGTTGATGAGTAAATAAACGCATCGAAGTGCATTAGCCTCTATTCAGTATCTTCAAAAAAGTAGAATTGAAGTTGATGCAATTTCCTTACGACGAAAAATGTTCTCGTATCCAACGCTACGACGATGGCTGAACGTTAATAGTGATGGTTTTTTTACCGGATAGCATATCCGATGCGGGCCTGTGTTTGTTAGGAAATTTTAGCCTAACTAAAACCCAATTTGTTAACAGTACGAGGTGAACCATCTATAATTTGTATTGGTTTTTCCAACTTTTCCGAGGGATTTGTTCAACATACCTGAATGGAGGGCATCAATGTGTTCATTGTCGTTCTGGTGATTAGGTATTTCATGCCAAAACAAACTAAGTGCTCGACTATAGGCTGAATGTAATACCAAGGCTAGTACTTGTGTAGAAATATCTGACAAATAAGGATGGTTCAACTTGTGTTTCCAGAGACAGAAAATCTGACTGTACCTTTTACACGTTCCGGTACATAGTTCTCACGGATTTGTTGTACAACGCTGGCGTAAACTTTCTCCGACAGTTCTGGATCCATGGCCCGATGAAAGTCTAACTTGTTTCCTTTAAGTTCGCTGTACAAGGTAAACTGGATAATAAACCACGTTGAGTGATTATTATTGTCATTATAATTCTGAAAATGTTTCGACACATTTTTGGAATAGAGTAAGAGAACTGGCACAAACCCGATATCTGGTAAAGATTGACTGAGTGAGTCCTTATTCCAATGTTACCTGTCGTGTCAGAATGATCGCGACAGCAGTCTAACAGTTTGTCTAAAACGACATAACAGGTTGGTCTATACAAAACAGTGCACATTATTTGATTAACTGGGGGCACAGTTTTCACCCGATCCAACGGAAGAAAAGAAACTGCCCGAACGAAGTTTTCGTGAGCGAACTGATGACCCACGAGCCTGTTTTGATGCATTATTGCTCCACACCTCGAGATTAGTTGAAAACGACGCAAGCAATGGGTTAAGACAGGGAAAAGGTCCAGCATGGGTTAATTCATTTCACACGAAGAGCTAAAGGCACAAAAATGGGCATTCTGTCTAGAATCGTAGATATGTAAAAAACATCGAATGTCAAACGAAGTTGGAAAACGATTGCAGGAAAGGTTTTGCCAGCGTTATGAAATGTTTTTACTTTGAAACAAAGTATATTGACCGCACCTCCAGTGGTGTCCGTGAGCATCATTCAACCCAGCTAATGAGTGGGGAAATTGCAGGAGTGGTGGTGAAACATCTTACTGATATTAATCACAATGTTCTTGAAGAGAGTTCTCACTTCGATTTACAGTAGAAACGGTAGCGCCTAAACACACGACGTTTATTTTTATTATACACACTTGTGTGATGAACAGCAGCCAGGATGGACCCATAGTCAGGACGATTTACTACTGTGATTGAAACCCGTAAGCTCCGGGACCTGAACTGACGAACCACATGAAATCCTACTAGGTTAGGCGTGGTACCGAAACGGACGATAGCAAAGATGACTACCAACAAAGTTGGGTGGCGGTGGCAAAATTTGAAACCCGGATCATAGGGTCTAAATCACGTTGATGATAGAGATCAAGCCACTGCAGCACCAACGCACAGCGTTCTAACCACAGCGGAGGCCTCAATCGTACATTCCCCCAACCTCCATCTGTGCACTTAAAAACAGTTTGCAGAGCTCTCGCAATCGATCTCCCCGAAAAACGATGAAAGCTGAAGCGCCGAAGCAGATAACACTTAGCTATTGATGAAATTGAGATTCGAAGTGGAGAGTAAACAAGATATGAATGTCCAAACACGCCCATCACACTTAAATTACCCAACAAACTGATATCTGCACTAAGTTGCATACATGTAGTTCTGTTGGTGTAATTTTAAAACATCGACAAGTTCTCGTTGTAAATGCGTTTGAACTGGTTACAGATTTAATGATCAGTTTGAGATGGTATCGGGTAGGGTCTGTGATGACAGAATTGTATTTAGCGCAAACAAATGAGTGAGTGCAGTAGGAACGGTGGATCACGTGATCACAAAGATCGATTGTTAGTTAGGAAAACTGCCTTCGAAAGCCTCAGTATGATCGGGGTGGGTGTCTGGGATTGTGACTGGTCACCATTTCCTTACACCTCTCGAAATGCTACTATATGACCAAGCGTCTCAAATCCCCTTTCCTGAGAAATTACTGCCTTCTCGTGGCGGAGGTGTTTTGGCACCAAAGTGAGAGGACGAAAAGCCGACATCCGGGTTGGTGAACCACTGGCAGTTTACCCAGGGAAGTTGGCTGAAAATCATGATGCCAAACCAACCAAAAAGAGGCGTAAGAACCACAGGCACATTTTCCTGGTCGCGGCAGTGGTCACCGGCTCAATTAGGCATCAAGGTGTGTTGGGCACGTTGGACGTTTGATCCCATCCAAAGGGCGTATGATCCAGTTAACTGGACATCGGCCCCCCAATGGACTTCAGACTCTGAGCTCCGTTCTGTTGTCTTGCAGGTCTGGCCTTCTAACCAAAGGATTCAGGTGGGGACCCTGAAACTATCCCCCTTCCTCGGCCAGGGCAACCGGGAAGTAACATGCCCACACAACCTATGACCATATTCTTCGAATTTCTTTCTGTTCATATGTTGTGGTACATTTGCCAGTTCTCTGTATTTGTTTATGTATTGAATAAATAAATAATAAATAGGAAAACTGACAACCGAAGATCGGGGACCGTCAACTGTGTAGTTCAGGGGCAAGGGTTTGAAATTCGAACCCGAAGGTCCGCGATTCGAGTTCTGACAGGGACACAAAAAAGTACGCACTGCTGACGAGTAACAAGCGGGACGAAACAACTGTTCAATGCTCTTTGTCGGTTATCACAAACATTTCCATCGCATTCAAGATACAATCAACTAGTGGGGAATCAACTATCTCCCAAGGAGTGAAACCCACACCCAAGACCACCAAGGGTACCTGATGCCTCTGAACAATCGAATGGGTTAATCCAAGCTTGATAATCTAAAAGAGAATGTCGTCTTGCGACAGAATGTCAACAATTCAAATACTACATGACATCTAATCAATGGCCGCCATGGCAAAAACATCATAGAAGGAATATCTGCGGTAGGAAACTGGCATCTGAAAACGAGAAATAGAACTTACCTGACTAACACACAGTATTTCTAAGCCGAGATCTTTGACACTTTTATCCCAACGTCGTGATCCGTCTGCGTTGGGGAACAATCGAAGATTTAAAATCTTTCGTACTCTAATGAAAAAATGAGATTACATAAGAAGTAAGTATAAGCAAATGACAATTACGGTGCATTCATTCTAATCACGGGTACACGTCAATGCAAGGCAAAAATCAAATCAGGCAACCAAAGAGGTCATCTCGTGACCTGAGGATGGATCTGAAAATCCTTGAACCTGAGTACTAGTTCAACTGTTAAGTAAGTTGGAAAAACAGGTACAACGAACCAAAAGCCACTGAGGAAGAACACATAAGTGAACGAACTGAAGTAGAACAGCACCACTCCAACAATATGGAATGGATCACTTCGGCAGGTAATAAAACATTTGCAAACAAATCGCGAAGATCGACGAACAGGCGAAAATGAATTCAGTTTAATTGATCTACTAGATCTGCTAGAAATTCGTTGCATCTGTTTCCATTGTATATCTACCATCTATTCCCCCTTCAGATGTATCTGTACTGTCCCGTTGAGTTTCAATAACATCACAGACTGAAGTAAAGTGCGGGCATTGCAGTGTGACAGTGAATAAAACGTAATCATAATAGCTATGGCATATTCTGATCAACAAAGATAGCCATGGAGAACCAAGGTACATTTGTCAGGAACTCACATGTACGCTATGTCTTGTTTTTCATCCTTGGATGAGATTCCAATGAGTACCAGAACACCTCGGCGAATTTGGCTGACTATGGATCCATTCACTGTACAGGGGAAGAGGAAACAAATGGTGAATACGCGAGTAAGACATTTTCGTCAGAAACCGATCACTAAAGCTTGGGAGGCAGGTTATGTTGAATTGATACAAACGAAACGATCAGAGATATTTCTTCTAAAAGTGTACCGCCAACCGAATCAACGTGTTACTCGCTAATAGAAAGCCTTTGCGGGACATCCTCAGCGGTGCACACGACAGAAAACTGTGGCACGAGAGATTGGTATTGCCAACCACTCGGTGTCTATCCGCGCCAGACTGCAGCACCTTGCTAAACTACTTCACATTGTATAAACTGTCCCACAGAGCACATAAAACAAGTTTGTGTTCAGTAATTCGTAGTCGTGTCAATAAATCACAATGAACATTCCAATACATTTTATTAATCAACCATATAAGTTGTTTTGGAAAATTACATGCACAGATTATTTAGAGCAAATTTCGTCATTGAACGGGAGATAGGATTCTCAAGTGTTGGGTCAACCGACCGTTGAAACTACTCAGAATATGGGATGTGTCGCGTGGGCCATGGGAGCTTGTAGACGTTGTTTTTCAGCACACTCTCTCCTACCGCTTCCAAGATGCCAGACATACGACAGCGAACCTGTCCTGATAGCCAAACGCGAACGTTATACTTAGGGCGGAGTGCCTCAGTCACGTTCACAGTGTGATTTGTTAAAGCTAGGTGCGAAACCACAGTATCAGTGAGTGACTTGATTGTTCCTGAGTTTGGCCTTGCGGAGTAATCTCCACAGATCCCCTCAAACAAACGTCCATGTGCATTGTTCTACGGGAACATGTAAATGAGCATACAAAATGAGACGGAAGAATCAGGCACTTTTTCCTTCAGTCGTAAACAAATAATTGGCTTGGGCGTGAAAAAACAGTGAGTTTTGCTGTGTAGAATGTATCAGATAATCTACTTTGGATTTCCTCTACTGACGTCTCCCCCTCTCCCCCCTCCTTTGAACGACAAGGTAATGTAAAGCAACTTCGTTCCGACCTGCCCTGAATCATCCCGCTAACCAGCAGTTCGGAATAACTATTTTGAGTGAGGAACAGAAGTTCCTATTTAATTCGATTCCCTTGCCCTATCTGCCAGGCAGTGCACCAAATTCCCCTTTACTTTGAGTGGCACTAAACTGCGGAAACGAGTGTATCTGCCCGTTCAAGTCGTTTTCGTATGCGTTGATCGTTGCACTGAGTCATCCGTTCTACAGCTCAAACAGACGACTGCAAAAGTGTTTCTTTTGTTTACCCATTCCAAAGCGAACCCTAGGTTCTGGTAAACAGCGCCGAGCTTGTTTGATAGCTCATTTGATTTTAATTTCATGTTGATTGCACCAAGAATATCACCCACAGATCGCGTGTACAGCATACACACCTGCATGGACGATTACAATTGGCTATTTTCGGGGTTCCGTATAAACAAATGAGGAAACAACGGCACCAGTGGGAAACCGATGGTCAAATCATTTATTGTCGACAAATCTGATTGTTGAACCTAAAATAGACGCAGAAATAAAGCAGTTATTTCAAGTACTCCGAAGGAAAGCCTATCATAACATTGTTACTTTGTACACAAGTGCACCGAAACTCGAAGGGGTCACTGGTAGGAACATTAAAGAGTGAACTAACGAAAAGTGCGAGCGTGTTTCAACCTGCTACGACTACCGAACTCATAATGATAACCTTGCGGCGGTCGCTCAATTTGTGTGCTCTCGGTTTCAGTGACATTTCTGTGTCAAAACTGGTCGTACAACATCGAGTCAGCACTCATTCGACTCGGTTCGGTGAGCTACACTGAGTGATATCACTCTCTTGGATATATACCCTATGTGTTTCATGTTTCCGCCGTTCGGAGCGAATTCTCTATCTTATTCACGCGTGTAAAATTGTTCAAGTTTCCACGGATTACTCTCATTGTGATATCAGCAGAAGGAAATTCTACGCTCAATTCAACGAGCTTCTGTTCAGTTCTCTGTGATCATTTCTAAGAGAGCTACAGATAAAATTTGTGTTGCTCAATTCTCATCCGTTCTCCATCGCGTCTGCACGTGTGTCCTTCCCTCTATCTCCAGTCGCAACGATCGATACGCACGGTTGCCCCCGGTCATTGTCTTGCACGAGGACTTTTCTCAGTGACGTGCGGTTAACTCAGCCACACCGATTTCGCTTCACTTGACCTTTGTCAACAATTTCCCATCCCGCGGTTCGACCACATCGGTATCACTTACCGCTGGAGAGGATCGACTGCCGCTCGTACTGAGCAACAGCTGTTGATACGGACCACGTTTTGAGACGAGCAAAATTCACCTTACACCTAGCAAACAACCGTAAACAAGCAAATGACAACGCCTACCTACAATACAACGTCAGTTG